TGTTAATGTAATGACAGTAAATTTTTTATTTAAATAAAGTCTCGCATTTAATGCCCATTCGCGATAAAAAAAAAAAATTTATTTACAAATCAATGATATAACTAATTATTTTGCTTAATCAGAAATTTTTTCAACTTCCAAACCTTTTCTTTGGTGGATTAATAATCAATAAATATTTCCAAATGTATCAAAACTTGTGTGTAAATATCTTTTAATATCTGCCATATTAGCATCTAGTAAATGGTTATTTCTGATGCTGGAAATTTAATAACGAGACACACTAATCTTAAACAACATGTATTAAAGCAAAATTCGTTTTTAAAAAGAAATAATAACTAGCTTAATAACATTTTTCCGAATTATAATATAATAATTAAATAAACATATTTTTATAAATCTCAAATAATTAATTGAATCAATTGAATAATTAAATAATTTAATCAAATAATAAACTATTTATAGATATTTATTGGATCAAATAATGGAATAGATGGATCCAATCCCTAGGTTGAATCCATTATGGTAAAAATTTATATTTCAATTTATAGATTTTAACTTGGTAGCACTCAAATAATTATATACACATTTACTTAACTTGTGCCAAAATCTAATACCTCTTTAGACATTGTATGATTGGTGATCAAAGCAGTGACAGACTTCTCAAAATAGTAAATGCTATTAAAATATCTGAAAGTATATAATATAATTTGATGACAACCTATTTTTGTATGTGCGCATATTGTGACGTGCTATTGGCAAGTTTGTCGTTAACTAGGAGAAGAAATTGTGTAACTGTCACTTTAGTTTAACAATTAAAATTCAAGAGGCAGATTTGACTTGATCAAATTCTCTGTCTTTACTAGATATTTTTTTAATCCTTTTTATGCATGTTTTAGGCATTGGGATAGAAGCTTTTAGGGTGTAAAAGAAAAATATCAAAATATATAGAACATTTTAAGGCTTCAAGGTAAATGATTTACTGTATATTATGTCTTCTTACTATTCGTCATTAATCAATTATTATTATTACAGGTTGATGCTTCGCGATACTTTTATTAGCGACCGAGACGAGGTCACGGAGCTAGATTATCGCGAGAGATCCATGTAATACAGTCAATGATGTAATGTGCTAGTAAACAATATTTAGAATGACGCGAGAGTATTACGGTGATTGTGCTTTCTTTCTGTTGTGGCCGAAAATGTTATTTTTTCGGCTTATTCGAGGTCCCTCCCTCCCTCCCACTCAACATTATACGTTGCTCTATTATACTGTCGAAAATGATCTGTGCAAACCTCACACCATTTAAATTCGGGTAGTAAGATAGTTGTTAGAAACGAGCTGTGTAAAACCCACACCGTTAAATTTGTGTGGAAGATGGCGATGAAAACCCACACCTTTGAAGTTTGAGAATGGAATTACCATGGTTTAAAACTCAACATTGAGAATGGGCTACAGAACCACGCACTTTAGAGTAAATTAGAGACAGTTACGAACACAACACATTATAGATGAAGGAAATACATTTAATAGGTAAATATAGATTAGAAGTATAGCACAAAGGCGGAATACCCTGTATGTATAGGTTAGGATATCGATATACTGTCGCTAAACCAGATAGAAGGCTATATCTCATAGTGACTAATAAATATATTTTTATGTTTGATATGTCAAATTGATCTCGAGCGAGAATAATGGTTAAAATCGGTCACGTGACTACTATCCGTCTTTAACTGTTTAATTTTACCTCCTACAATATACTGTAATTATAATTTTAGGGTTCAAAATTTCCTTTCTGACTTCAAAAAGAAATACCCATATCAGAGTAAGTAAAGTGCTCTTTATTTTTTCCCTGTACTGTATTACGAAAATAAAAACAAGAACACAAATACTGTAGCTGACAATAATTATTGTCTCATTTCTCTTTAACAAATTCAATAGAAAAAATAAATGCCAACAGTCGCAACAATTTATAAAAACATAGTATCACCTATGTGATTTCGACTATAATTTATTGCATTAAGAGACCGAATTAAATTAACAATTCCGTAAAGTGTTGAATAATAACTTTTTACCATAAAGGAATATTACATTATATTCCAACAAACTTGTATAGTCAGGATTGTTATTACTAAAACACTATTCCAAATGACTATATTTCCGTTGTTAATAAAACCACTGGGGCCTGTGGGTTGAGGATTGTCCGTAGTTTTTGTAGTGCCTTTGGTGCTCGTAGTACTTGTTGTGCTCGTAGTATTTGTTGTGCTCCTAGTACTTGTTGTGCTCGTAGTACTTGTAGTTTCCTCGGTACTCGTGGTGCTCGTAGTGCTCGTAATATAGTACAGGGAAAAAATAAAGAGCACTTTACTTACTCTGATATGGGTATTTCTTT